TAGAAGACCTTCGACAGAGAATTGTTCGGAAATACCGATTTCTGACTCCGGACATCTTCTATAATGTAAGAAACGCTTTCGAAAGTAGACTGTATCATTGTGTGGAACTAGATGGAGGTCATTCTGAACACTTTATTCGTTGATTGTGTTGACAGCGTTCAACATTCAATTTCTCAATAAAGAATGAACCAATTTAAAAAAAAAATACAGATTTGATAAAGAGACAAAAGACCTTTCAAATGATGTATCGGTCGACCCCCTATGCCATTAAAAAAATAGGGGTGGTAGTTGCTGACTGCAGAATTAGGTCTCCCTAGAAATAAAAATTGAGGTGTTCTTTGAAATTCTCGATTACACGTCCGTTTCTGACTTACAGGGGGTCAAGTTTTCGTTAGAACGCCCTGTATAAACATAACAATGTAAACAAACGATACAGCCAAGCAGGCATTCAACCGATACATTCTGTAGAGTTACCCTTAATAAATATTTGTAAATAAGAAATGGTGTTAAAAATACCTGTTTTCTAAAATATGTTTCAGCAACGCTTCAGTTCAATATGAATTCGTAGAGAAAAATTGACCGAAAATTATTGACGGCATCATAGGAGACATAAAATTGAAATTTGGAAAAAAATTAACAGCATCACTGTAGAGAGTAAATGTGGTATATATACCACAACACAGTAGAATATATATTTATTGAGATATGGAGTTACAAAAACACATGACATTAAAACGGACAAAACTCTTGAAACAACCTAATAAAAATGTTCCTAAAGACAGTGAACTTTTGAACAATACTTACGGGAATGCATCTGCAACAATAACATCTACATATAAAAGNAAGTAAGCAAAAACCATAGCAATGTTCTTTTTAGATGGTATCCTTTAAAAAACTGTATATAATTTCCGTGGCAACGTTACTTTAAAACGCCTTGTCAACTTGTTTCGTATGTTACAACATTAGTTGTATTTTAATTCAGTTTAAAGTCCGTTAACTTCAAGTCTGACAAATGATTAGATTAAGGGAAAAGCATAAAATAACAGTTTTACAGAGTATTGGTTACAGAGATAAAACCCGAACAAAACAGGAAGTAGCTCGCCTATTCCATGAGAAATTTCCTAATTTACCGCCCAAATCTCAAGGAACAATAAACAAAATAGAGAAGCAGGTTTGACAGCTTGGTCATGTGGGGCAGATAAAAAAAGCAGCTGCCAATGCAATGTGTGATGAACTCAAATTAGATGTGATCTTGAGTTTGCAGGAAAATCCACATACATCGAGTAGATGTAAAATGCATCCCTATAAAATGATGCCTACTCAGGAGCTCATGAAAGACGATTTTGATAGAACTTATTTTTGTGAGCAAATAATGGACATGTTGGATAACAATATCATCCAATTAGAAGATGTTATGATGAGTGTACTTTGTCTCTTAGGGCAATGCGCACTACAGATTTTTTATCGGCCGATAGTTTAGTTGGATCCTTATTAGTATAGAATCGTAATGTGAGTACGCACATCTAAGCGATTCCAGTCGGCCGACTGAATAATCAGAAACAAGTTGGATGGGCTTCCCAATTCTGATTCAATTACAAAGTTGGACAACTATCGGCCGAGTTCTAATCAGACTGTGTCTTTATGAGAGTGCGCAGACTCATCAACTGAACAGTCGGTGCCTGCAGACTCCCCACTCTGTATTACATTGTTGATATCTGACATCAAATATTACCTAGTACCTACTCCATTTTTAAATATATTCGCGTTTTCTCCTCGATAACCTTTTTCAATTCTTTCAGTACAACGCGTCAAAATATTATATACATCAACAACTGTTCAGACTTATCAGTTAGTGGTCTGCGCACCCGCACCGAACCGAACAGTTTTGTTTGAGTAGTGTGCCCCCACCTAACCCAACCAGACTAAACTATCGCCCGATAAAGAGTCTGTAGTGTGCGCTTGGCCTTAACGGTCATGCTAATCGGCAAAATTGCCGCTACTGGTCAACGGAAAATCCTCACTGGATGAGAGAACACACGCAATACCCTCAAAAGGTTAATGTTTGGACAGGGATTGTAGGAAACGATATCATTGGTCTCTTTTCCATTGAAGGCATCTTGAATGGCAATAATTATTAGGCACTACTTCAAAATGATGTCATTCCAAGTTTAGCAAATTTATATTCTGATCCAGGAAACCCTCAAGTTCCAGTGAATGCGATATGATTTCAGCAGGATGAAGTACCTCCACATTACCAAGTTAATATCCGGCAATACGTTGTTACATTTACCAATCGGTGGATAGGGAGGCGAGGATCGATTGAATGGCCAGCGCGATCACCTGATCTTTCATCAATAGATTTCTTTTTATGGGAATATGTAAAGAACAATGTATAACTAAACTTTCAGATTTGAATTACTCAATAGAACGAATAACGCTTGCGATTAGGTCGGTCACGCCTGATATGTTAGTGTTAGAAGACAGTTTTATTTGAGATTAGGATGTTGTTAAGACGTTCACGGTGAACATTTTGAACATCTACTTCGTGAATATCCATAATTCGTTTTCGTATTCTATATTTCATTACGTTTTGCATAACATTTTAGTTTTTGAGTGCATTTCATTGAATTTCAGTAACCACATGATTTCAATTTTTTTATATTGATTGTTGCAATAAACGTGAAAGCGATAACAGTTTTGAATAGAGAATGAAGNTCCGTTGCGTAGTTTTAAAGATCTGAGCAATAGGGACAGACAGCGAAAAGCGACTTTGTTTATACTATGTAGTGAAGTGATTATTGTAATTGTTCTGACAAAGGAGTGAAATATAAGGAAAGCTTCACATATAACAAATAGTCAATCCAGTCACTAATTCTTTTGTGAATATTTCACATTTAGCATTCTCATATTTTACTCATTCATTTATAAGCGTTCAAGTTTCCATTGTTTTTAGAGAATATGGTAAACTATAATTTCTGAATCCAGTCACCAGGTATAATTGAAGCCTTTTTTATTCGTTAAATGGTCACGCTGTATAATCTGATGTTTGACAGTTCTGATTCTGTCTGGTGACATGTCAAAAGGGCGATAAGTCATATCTTCGTTAATAATAGCCTCATATCGTGGCGTGCGGCACATGAAATGAATGGGGTGGGAGTGCATAATTAACCTAAGAATATACAAAGATGGTGGCGTGCCAAAAAGGCATTAAGCGTGCGCAAGATGGAAAAATTTGAAAATTTATATGGAAAATTGAATTTTCAACTTTCAACATATCTTTACGTTTCATTCAAAAATAAGCACATTTTCAAGAAGATTTTGAAAGCTGGCATATTGTTTGGAAAAAATATAAAGAAATCACAATGACTTGAACAACTTGAATATACATTGCATTTATTTTTTGAAATATGATATAGCATTCACCATAATATATTATATTGTATAGTCGATTTAAAAAGTGCTTTTACATTACATTAGCGCAGCGCAATTGTTTTTTTCCTGGAAGCAGCCAGTAGTAGTGTTAACATCAAATATTCAGAAAGAAACTTTTCAATCACTCAGTTTAATTTTTCCACAAGTTGTCAAATTGAATATAAACTTTCAAATTTGATAAAAATTATCCTCAATTTCCCGCTCATCATAGAATTCTCAATATTTGTGTCATATTTCGTCATCATTGTGCATTCAAATTTGAATCATAAATAATTTTTCAGGCATAGAAGTAGTCAAAGAAGGTATACGTAAGTTAAGGTTTAGCCAACAGTTGAAGAAAAGTGAGAGCGGTGCCAAAACAAGGAAGGTGGAGCTTACCATTAGCGTTGATGGGGTAGCCATACAAGAACCTAGGACACACAATATATTACATCAATTCCCTTTGCACAGGATATCGTATTGTGCCGACGACAAAGGAGAGAAAAAGTTTTTCTCTTTCATAGCGAAACAGCCCAATCAAGGTGAGTGAAGAGTTCAGTTTTTTTCCTAATAAATCAGCAGTGACAATACAATATCTAGGACTTCTTTCTTCAGTCGCCGGTGGATATCAATAATTTATATAAATGATCTCCGCAATTCCTCATTACCGTATGAATGTTTCTTATTTGATTATACCACCTTGGTTTGCTCCCATAAGCAGGTAGATGAGTTGAAAACGTTATCTGACAAAGTCTAAGAAAGAGCTGTGAAATGATTCAAAACAATATCAAGCTACATAGTTGTGTTCTGGTTCTACGAAATTCTGGTTCTAGGACAGGATCATGCGCAGTTGATATAGAGCGTTCTAATTTATTGAGGATAATTTCGGAGTGATGAATCCTCTGTTCTGGTTTCGACTGCGAAATGATCCTAAACCGTCTTGAACCGTCCCGAATCGTTCTTGCTCTCGAGGCCGAACTGTTGAAAACTGTTCCCATTGCTCATGCGCATTCATGTGGAAATTTGTTTGGACTATTTTCCAGGATGATGATTGAGGTTACATAATATTTTTCTGGAAAAAGAGGCTAGATGGACTGCATACAGACTTGTGCACATTGCCAATTGCACAAATCAATTCAATGCAGAGTGCAACAGACTGTTGGTTACTGGTCATCGCCAGATATTTCTTTGGCGCCATCTCTGTGTGGCATATATCTAATGTCCCTGTATTTACAATTTTAATTTTTCTTGGAACTTATTATGTCTTTTAGACCATCTTTCAATATCTGTACGGGCCTTCGAACATCCTTATTTTCTTTCAACCTAAAACTGTATTTTGCAATGCAACAACTTTGTCTATTTGCCAATCTAATTCTTTTTTCTTGTTTTGACGTGTACTCAAAACAAAATTTCTGACCCACCCCTTTGATTTAATTTTCTATTTTTCACAGAGTATCCAGGCTATTACTTGATTTCCACTTGATTTCCATAACAAAATTCGAAACGGAATTGATAACGGTCGAACACCAATAGGGCTTTTCTGTGATCTAAGTAGGGCCTTTGACTGCGTTCCTCACGAGGCTTCACTTAAAAAACTCTGGCTGGTAGGAATTAGGGGTACAGCGGCAAAATGGTTCACCTCATACCTGTCAGATAGAAGTCAATTTGTTCAAATATCTCATAATGAACCAGATGGGTCAATAAGTAGGTATCGCTCAGGACACGTAAGGAAGGAAGTAGGTGTTCCGCAAGGTAGCGTACTAGCCCCAATACTGTTTGCAGTATACACTGCTGATCTAGTTGAATATATACCAGACTACAATATAACTGTGTACGCTGATGATTCAGGCCATTGAAGATGACTGCACCACATTACTAGGGAAACTAGGGGAGTGGTTCTCCGCCAACAGACTGTTTCTCAATTTGGAAAAAACCGAATTTGTGATCTTCCATACCAGGCAACGGGCTATCGATAAACACGTTTCAGTAAAACTAGACAATATCTACATCAACCAAAATATGCATGTGAAATTTTTAGGAATGACTTTAGGAGATACGCTTCATTGGCATGAACATGTAACTAGTATGATAAAGAAAATAAACACAAAAATATATCAAATTCGTTGTATCCGAAACACTGTTGATAAGGATTGCTTGAGAAATTTCTATTTTGCCGAAATTCAGTCAGCCTTGGTCTACGGCATATTACTGTGGGGAGCAATGCCGGTCTATTCCTATCCCAGAAAAGAGCGAAAAGAACTATAATGGAAAAGCCTAAAAAACCTCATGCAAATCCCTATTCGCAGAAATGAATGTCCTCCCATTAGCCTGTCTCTATCTATTGGAAATAGTATGTTATATCTACAGAATAAGAAACACACTTCCAAAATACTATGATGTACACCCATATCAGACTAGGTCTAAAAACCTGATCTATCCCAGAGCTTACAGTCTTGATCTGGTGTCACGGGGACCAAATTCGATAGGCATAAAAGTATACAATAAGCTGCCAGAGAACATCAGGAATGAGACTACATTGTTCGAAATTCTCTGAAACTGTTGAGTATGTGAAAAGTGATCAAATCAACGACGTGAATGTATAAATACTGATCTGATACCAATTCGAAAATATTGTTTTTGTTGTTTTAGTATTAAATAAAATTCCTCTCGATTGATGCATGCCATGAATAATGCTAAACAATTCCTTGATTACTCAAATTGATTGCACGTGTTTGAATATCAATGCCACTACAAAATCACTTCTGTAATTATCTGAATCCATGGCATCTTATAAACTGTTTTTTTGTCTTGACTTTGGCCTGTTTGATAATATCTGAACCCAAATGTTCCCTTCCAATCCTCTACTAGAATTTGGTTCAAAAATTGTTGTATCCAAAAACTTCTTTTGAATAAACCCTTTTCTCTCTACACTAATAGTTTTTTTGGGGGTCATCGGCATCGACTGCATTGGTCATTAGCCTCGTGTCCTGGATAGGCAATGTTAATAACTTCCCGAGCATCATGGCTATTCGCAGTCCGTCAGTCATGTAACGTTGCACTAATAGTTATACGTAATTCAATATTTTCATGTTTTGGAAGAACATTTTTTTTTATTTGTTAGTATTAGGTTACACAATTATTCGATTATTTCACTCGGCATAAAAATTGGGTGTTCGGGATACGATGAAGTTGACGAAGGCCATTTTTGCCTGGTCCTGATTGGCGAAGGTTCTGTTGCTGAGAAAGTTATCGAAGTGCTCGAAAAGATGGTAATCAGTTAAGGTTCTATCCGTGATAAAGTTATCGAAGTGCTTCAAAAGATGGTGGTCGCTTGGCGAGAGGTCTGGGTAGTATGGTGGGTGAGGCAGAACTTTGATGCTCATTTCGTTTTATTTTCAGACGGTGATTTGTGACGTGCGGACGGGCTTTGTCGTGGAGCAGGATCGAATATGTTCTATTTATCAGTGCCGGTTGCTGCTGACACAATTTTTGATACATTTCGTTTATTTCCCCACAATAGAACTCTGCTGTAGTGATTTGGCCCGGCTGTAGAAAGTGCCTGAGTGGCTCATCGGTTTCCAACCACTCTCTTTAACGTCTCCTGCTGTTGTAGAGGAACCACTTTTTATCATACTTGACGATCCGACCCAAAAAAGGATCATTTTGGTTCCTCAAAAACCGCATGGAAACTGACGCCCAGCTCTTCCATCATCCCACGCACCGTTTGTGATGGGTCAATCTCCACCAGTATCCTCAAATCCTCGTCCTGGATTACTGTAGGTCTACCACTTCGAGGCTAAAATCTCCGGAACGAAATTTTGCAAACTAACGTCATTAACACTATCATTGCCAAATGTCTGTTTAATTTTTCGGGCTGTTTCGGCAGCTCTTTGGTTCAATTTGAAGTCATGGAGAATTTACGTCCTAAATGACTAAATCGCCTAATGACATCACATAGTAATAAGCTGAAAAGAGGCAAAATATTGAAATTTGGAGAAAAATCAACAGCATAAATGTCTAAAGTACAACATTGTCTATCGATCAGTATAAACCACGACACTGTAATAAATATTTTTTGAGATATGGAGCTACAAAAACGCATGACATCAAAACGGACAAGACTAGAAAGAACCTGAAACAATTGTCGCAGCGTCATCAGTTGGACTAGTGTACGTATTTCTCCATGTGTACTGATAGTAGAATGACCCTGATGAATATCAGAAATTCCCCTACAATATGATGCCCTCCAACAACTCCCATCCAGAGTTCTGATTATCTGTTCCCCTGATCAAAGAGTTGAACTTTATGGACAACCTTGATGATAAAAATAACGTTCATTTCATACAAATAATGGAGAGTAACAATATTAAACTGAGATACTCACATAAAAAGTTAATAATTCATACACACATGAAGAAGTTGATATTGGTTAATATAACAATGAAACCTCAATACACATGCATACATATAACATATACAATAAATATATAATATACACACCTACACATACACACATATATGCACATGCCCAGTTTTTTTCATCTCAACCATTTTTCATGTCAATGAGTTTGTTTATTGAAATCTCCTAATATTTTCTCAGGGATGTTTTAAAATAGGTTTTTATTGGAATATTCATAAATTCGTGTAAAAAGGTATCGACAGATGACAGATAATTTAGATTTCTTTGATTTAGATTTCATATATGGAACTCATTTGAGGTTTGAGAAACGTCAATTAAATACTGATTTTTATATAGAAAGGATGCAGCACTATAGAAATAGATTTGTCTCATTTCAAATTCACCAATTTTCTCATATAATTTTTCTGTAGAATATCTGCAAAGTTTCTGTAGAATCATCTTGAAAAATTGTTTCAATTTTTTCATTTTTTAATCGTGTAATTGTTTGAGTATAATATTTTCTTCAATATTGTAAACATTTTTATACTTCAAGTTGACTAAATGTGTTCTACTGGTGTTTTAGAAATTGCTGAAACTGTTGAATATGTAAAAATTTAATTGATTTGGATAATATCGATTCGACTTGTTGTTTTAACATTGGATAAAATTACTTTCGATTTATTCATGTCATGAGTAATGCTAAACAATTTCTTGATTACTTAAATTATCTACACGTAATAAATATGAATGCTGTCCTAGAATATCTTCTGTAAGAATTGCAACCCATAAGAAAAATATTCTTTTGTTTCCATCGACCTTCTTTGGTTATTTTCATCTTCCACAATCAGCGTATATTCTCATATCTGGAGACATGTGTATTTCGAACAGCTTCTTAGAAATGGATCGTTCTTGCTACCCGCCTTGAATAAAAATATGGATAGTGGCAACATAGCAACATACTAATATCAGAGAACACCTTGTACTACATCGAATGTTTCAGGAGTCAATCTACAACATTGACATAATTCACATTTCAAAACTCCTTTGACATCTGACTAACTTGAATTTTGTCCATTTTTGAAGAGGGGGGCAGATGAAACGTCATGATAAGTATTGTACGAGGGTGGTTCCAGAAGTACACAGCCTGACCAAGAGATGGCGGTAGTTATTTGAAAAATATCGCTGTATTAGAAAGTGCACAATTTATAAAGCATATGTTTCAAGTTTGAAGACACTTCGATGTTGTGTATTTGTTTGGCAGTCATCAATAGTGAAAGTTTTCCGTGAATTTTTGAAAATGGAGAAAATTGGTCATCGTTATGTGGTACAATACTTTTTTTGAAAGGCATCATTCCAACGAATATAAAAGCCGAACTAGATTCTACTCTTCGTTTATAACAGTAAAATATTGGGTAGCAGCATTCAAACGAAGCCGTACTAGCTGCCAAGACGAGCATCACAGTGGTCGACCAAATGAGGTGATGACTTCAAAAACGGCGAAGAAAATCCACAAAGCGGTACTGAATGATCGTCGACTGAAAGTGCGCGAGCTAGCAGACTTAGTAAGTAGGCATTTCAAAAAGTGCAGTACATCCGTATATTATCTAAAAATTTGGACATGAGAAAGCTGTATGTAAGCTTGAGCAGAAAACAGTGTCGTAAAGATGTTTCAATTGAGTGTTTAGCGAAGTTTCACAGCATCAAAGCAGAAAGCTTGCGTCGTTTCATAACCATGGATGGAACATGGGTCCATCTTACACCCGAGGCACAAGAACCATCAAAACAGTGGAATCAACAGGGAGAAGCGGCTCCAACGAAGAAGAAGGCTGTTTCATCTGCAGTCAAGGTCATGGCATTGGTTTTTTGCAGTGCGCGTGGGATAATTTTCATTGACTATCTTAAAAAAGGTAAAAACCACAGTAGAATAATACAACCAGTAGGCTGTCTTACCACTTGATCCGCCCGAGTTGTCGGAGACCTTCAACCGCTCTTAGGATGATATTCGCGTTCAGTGCTGTAGTATCGAAGGATTTGACAGTAGCACCATCGGATTAGTTATAATAAACGGTCGGAAATTGATATTGTGTTTAGTTTATTCGCTGTTGTTATTATTGTTTTTAGTTTTTGTAGTTGATTATAAGTAATTTACCACAAAATATTCTATAATAACCTTAAATTTCATTTTTATATGAGCGCATACGTAAAAGAACGAAATTGGCTCCACACTTCGTTTCGAGGTCACCGAGATATTTGTGAATTTTTGAATGAAATTAGGGATTGAACTTAGTGGTTGATTTTTACTATGGTGAGACTATCAACGACTAGTATTAAGCGAACTTATTGCAACGTTCGAGTGAAGAAATCGAGCAAATACGGCCGCATTTGGCTAAGAAAAATTGTTGATTCATCGAGACAATGCACCAGCTCACAAATTCATTATTGCAATGACCAATTTCAACGAATTAGAGTTTGAATTGCTACCTCATGCATCCTATTCGTCAGATTTATCCTCCTCATGCTATTTTCTGTTCCAAAACTTGAAAAAATGGCTCAGTGGTCAAAGACTTTACAACGATAAAGAAGAATGGCTATTTTGAGAAAAAGACAGTTCCTATTATAAAAACGGTATCAGACTTATCGTGAAACATACTTTGAATTCACACAGTAACTCATCGGAGTAAACTAATCAGTTTCTACATGTGTATACAGTTCTTTATTACAATTTTCAAATTTTTCAAATTGTGGGAAGTGAAAATACCCAAAGAAGGTCAATAAAAACTGATTTTCCTCCACAAAAAAATTACTTGTTCGATATTTTTTTGTAGTATTTATAAAATCAAAATTCAAATTATATTCCTATTCAAATATTTTTAGTAGGTATATATTCTCACAACTTTTATCACTCCCACATAGTTTTTGTTTCCTTTTTTCATTATTGTTTTGTGCGTGAGTTACTTTTCTGCTTCTAAATTCAGTATCTGGTATGATTTGTTTCTGTTCCTTATTCCAATAATTTCATGTTTTTCTAGTTGATAATGATGCAGAGGAAACCCACGAATGCTTTGTCTTCATCTCCGACAAACTGGCTGAAGAAATAACGTTAACAATCGGCCAAGCTTTCGAGTTGGCCTACAAAAGATTTTTGGAAACTTCTGGAAAGGATCTTGAATCTCAGCGCAGGGCCATGATCACCCAGCAGAAAATAAAAAGACTGGAACAAGAAAACAACATCTACAAACAGAGGTTGTTAGATATTTCGAATATAACCAATGTCAAACAAGAGTTAGAGCAGTATTTGCGAAAAAATGAGCTGAAGAACATTTTGGAAATTAAGTCTTCGAATGGTGAAAGTATTGTTAAGTCTCCTGTTCAGAGGAATGGCAGTATAAAAGAACTTTTAGATCTGACTTCAGATAACACTAGTAATGGAAATGGTAAGTAGAAACTTCAGTGGTCCAATTCACAATATATTGTTTTCACAAGGTAGATATATTTGAAAAGTCCAGTGTGAAATTGATGAAGATATTGGAGAGTTATGGCATAAGAGGTATAATAGAGGTATAACAGTATTTTCTGTATAATTCAGTGTTCATGTAAAAGTATTTGTTTCGAAAGAATTTTTTTCTTTCGTGTAATTCAATGTTTATATGAAAGTAGCTGTTTCAAGAGAGCTTTTTTCCAGTTTGTGTCTGAAAGTTGCTTCTTTGTATGATCTACACATCCATGTATAGAGTTACTTATTTTCAAATTAAATACTTCCTTTCTTTGGAAGATTCCCATATTTTTTTATATTAAGATGGAGTAGTAGAAAGCCAAAAAACTTTCTTTCCCAAAAAAGGTATACCATAAAACTGAATTTCATCCTTTTTAACAAAGAGAAAACAAATAGTTACGCTTCAGTTTCAATATAATAGCCAAATTAAAACCATACGCTCGGATAGTAGGAAAATCGAAATGGACGTTCCACAGTGATCGATCTTTGGTCCAATTCTACTCATTTTGTATGTGAATCATATTAATGCGATAATTGGACTTTTCATTTTTCTGTCCTCTACGGATAATGAATACCTACAAACGAAATGTATTGGAACAATTCATACAGTTTCATCTTTTCTCAATAGTAGGAACCTATTTTTCAACATTCAAAAACTCAGATATTAAGATTTCACTGTCACCAAAGAAATATTGATGATTTTGAAGTCAAAATTGGTGAAATTACAATGCAGAGTACACATGCAGAGGTTAGGTTTTTGGGTGTCTCTCTGGATGAACATCTCTCTTGGAAATTTCATTGCCAACAATTATCTTTCAAACTGAATTATTTAAATTATCTCTTTATTAATTTACGATCTGTTCTAGAAGTGAAACAGACGGTGAATGTTTATTATGCACAAGTCGAATCAAGACTCAGATTTGGCATTTGCCTATGAGGCAATGCATCAGGTGCGAAAGATATTTTCATTGCAAAAAAACGAATTTTGAGATGTATTGCGAGAGTTTTTCTCACAGAGAATCGTGTAGGCCTATTTTCAAAACATGTTGTTGTTTTGACGCTTCCATGTATCTTCATTTTCGAAACGTGTGTACATTTGCATTTGCAATTTGCAAAAAGAAAAATAAATTCATGTGCTCCTGATCATTTTGGCCTCAAAATATCAACAATCATCCAGAAGAATTGAAATATATAAATAAATTGTCTTCATTTAAACATGAGTTAAAGAACTTTTTAATGGAAAAATGTTTTTATGGTATATGTGATTTTATAAAAATTCGTTACCTATATTTGATCAACTACGTGTGATGTAAATTTCAGTGTAAGTGTATTTTAACCTTTTTATTTTTCTGTTTTGATGAAAATTTTTATTTTATTTCAATGTATTAATTTACCTGCCAATTGACAATTCCAATACATGTAAGCCATGTCGAAAAATGGAAATATAATATTGATTGATTGTGAAATTTGAAAGAATGTGTAAAAATACTTTTAAAAAAAAAATTTCGGAAACAACACAATTGTTTGAAGAATAACGACTTCGTAAGAAGTGGTGAAGGCGGCTTTCCCTTCAAAAGGGACAAGGGATGAGAATCCCTGCAAAATTCTTCATCAATAAATGGGATGTAGTTTATCTTTGAGAAAATAAAGAAGGTATTCAAATAACTCATGAGATTCCTTTCTTCAACTTATTTTGTTCATTTTGAGATATATGGTTTTCATTTGTGCATTTGATTTTTCACTCAGTTATGAGTGCTCAAAATACCAAATAATACCTTTCATTTCGACGTATCTCAACAATAATTCACTATTTCTAGTTGAGGGTTTCAGAAATTTGATTTTGGTTTTCTCTAACATAGTTTTTGCACTGTGTATCTCATTTTGAGAGAATTATGAAAGGGACAGATGAAATCGTTATCATTTCAGCTCCGCCAGTACCACCAAGAACGTTCGACTACACACCTGCTGTTGGAACTAAGCTAGAAGGCTTACTTTTCAATGAGCTGGACCCAGATGATGATTTCAATCCAAGATCGTATGAAAATAACCACCTCGAAGTTCAAGTTTCGAATAATAATGGAACAGAATCCAATCCACCATTGAGTAAGTTTATTTGTTATGTTATCTGCCTAAAATAAACTTGAGCATTTATCAATCACGAAGCAATAATAAATTCAACAGTATTCCCGGAAAATCTCTAAATATATTACAAAACTCATCCGCTCGTATAATTTAGGAATTTTTCGGAAGTTCAATTATTATTATCCCAATTCACAAAGGTGGTGCAACTACTGATTCCTGAACGTTTAGCCATCATGATCTTCTTGAAGTTCTTGTTATGTGTTACCTATTTTCAGAAGTAGCCTGGTGAAAGAGTGTATTGTTACTCACCTGTGAATTTTATAAATAAATGTTAAACAAACAATGACGAGTGAGCAGGTGCAGTATCGTGATGCAAAAGCCATAAATTATTTTCCCACAAAACCGGAATTTGTTTCGTATTGCTTCTCGCAATCGGCGCATGACTTCAAGATAATACTCTTCATTGACCATACGACCATGTGGCAAGATCTGATGCACTACCCATGATTCGTCACCAGTTATGACCCTTTTAAGCAAATCTGGATCGCTATTGACGTCATTCAACAAATCGTGAGCAATGCTCATGCAACGGTTTTGTTGATCAAAATTTAGCAATTTTGAAACGAAGTTTGCTGCAACACCTTACCGAAAAAATTGCATGGCATGAGTCAACCCTTATGCCCACATCCTCAGGAACTTCTCTGATAGTGATTCGACCATTCTCCATAACAATTTTCTTCACTTTTTAAACGTTTTTATCGATTGTTGATGTGCTGGGGCGTCCACGACAAACGTCGTCATTCACGTCTTCTTGAATTTCTATGAAAAGCTTGTCCCACTTGTATATATTTTTCTGACTCACGGTACAATCACTGTATGCCACTGTCAAATTTCAAGTGTTTTTGAGCACTTAATTCCATTTTTCACACAAAATTTAATGCAAATTCTTTGATCCATTTTTCTCAATAGCAGAAAATCGCCGAACACGTCAAACACTTGTAACTTTTATGCCTCTCACCAACAAACTAATAATGCTAAACAGCTGAAACTGTGAGCATATGTTCGAGGCGAATGTACCAACATAAACAAATAAAAGTCATTGCTAAGCAAATGTACATAGCCCGCAAAATTTGAACATGTTATGGCATAAGAGGTATA